ATTTTACACTCTGTAGGTCTAAATATTAATCAGACATTTATAATATTATTTTACACTCTGTAGGTCTAAATAATAATCAGATGCAAATGAGCTGTAATATTTAATAGTTTGTGTTTTATTGTAGCATGATTCAGCAGAATGCTACACTCTGTGCATATGCTACACAAGCTAACATCTGCTAACCCTGTCTGCCTTGGGTGACCCTATACAGGGACATGGAGCCCCTGACAACTTAGCTCGTAGGTTCACTGGGATACTCTACCATTAACCCTAACCCTTTTGTCCTTTAACTTGAAAGGCAAACACACTAACCCTAAAGTGTTGGAAACTCTAAATGATTAATTATTATACATTCTATCAATAATAAAATAATTATTACATGACAATGTGAAACTTTATTACAGAATTTTTTTTCTCTTTTCCTGTCTGTAGTTTTGAGGCTCCGTTAGCTGGAATGCTAACAGAGCGACGGCAGACAGTTAAAAAACAATATGAGGCTGTGCAGCAGAGGAGAGCCCTGCAGGACACTACCAACACATCCAGTCTGCCACACAACACTGTTGGCCCTGTGTTGGTGCTGTCAGCTCAGAACTGCCCTGCTCTCCATCTCAACCACAACCAGAAACTGCAGCTGCAGCAACAAATGCAACAGGTACACAAGCTAACCTATCTGCTCTACTGTGTTCAGTTACAAAATGTTATTAGTGAAACTAATCTGGGCTTTTCTCTTTCAAATGTTTCAGTCAATAGACTGATTCATGGAGTTACTACAAGGATTAGACATAAAGACCACAGCTGACAGAAAATAAGAAAACGTGAAAACAACTAAACTAAACATACAGGCAATATAAATAAAAGCAATCACTACCAAACAAACCAACATACATACAGGGTTTGTACGGTTGCTTGAAACCCTGGAAAGTGCTTGAATTTGTTCAAAGTGTCTTCAAGGTATGGAAAGTGTTTGATTTCTGTATAAAGTCCTTAAAAGTGTGTAATATTTATACTGCAGACCAGGACTGATGGCACTCCAGCACTGTGCCAGWTCAGAGATTAACTGTGAAACACTAGCTGTGTTTACATGCACAAAATGTTTTAATCTCATTGAAATGTATTCAGATTAAATAATCCGAATGTACTGTTTACATGGACACAATTCCATCACGAAAAGTGTTTACATGCACCGGAGTTTTATTCAGAATAAAAGTCCTGACATGTGCAGTGTTGTAAACGTTCAGCTCTACTTCCTGTTACAAACATAAACAAAGCTCCTCTGTGCCTCAGGACGACCCGTGTCAGCTTTTAATAACGCTAGAGACGTCGTTACTCCTCGGTTCAGCTGCAGATGAAGCAATACGTGGTTTTTATTTTTATTTTTTGCGAAGCACCGTCTGCTGTTTGCCTCCTTTTTCATCTGTTAAGAGAGCGAGTAGGAAAAGTTCTGCACGGTGCAGCGCAGCTGGAGCACTGCTGTCCCACCTCCTCTAACCGGGTGAATGGAAGTCAGTCACTGACGATTTAAATGAGCTAAACTGGTTAGATTTGGAGCCACACTTTATTAAAAATGTAATGCATTTAATGATTAAATGTGAAATGTAAAAGATTTTTCATATAGGTTTTGTTGATTTTGGTTGGATTATATCAGTTTTTGACAACGGCGTATTAGGGCCACTTTACAGATGAAAAAAGAGGAGAAAATCTTTGAGAAAAAACTCAGAGTTTATGAGATTAATTTCAGAAATTTTCAAGAAAAAACAAGGAAATTCTCATATTTTGAAAAGTCGCAAATTGACAAGAAAAACACTCAGAAGTTTTCAGGAAAGGCTAAAGGGTGATTCCACTTGTTTTCACTGCCTTGAACATCTTTAGTCTGCTCTAGTTTAAAAACTAAAACACAAAGACTTCAAACCTGGACCAGATTATTCTACACTGATTGTACAATGTTTAAAACCAAGTGTGTGATTTGTGAAACATATATTTAATATGTGAAGCTTAAGGAAATATGGGGATTTTAGCACTTTTTATGCATTCTATGAACAAGCATGGCCAGGTGGAGAGAATTATGCTGCGATCATCTTCACACCGAACACACAAAAACACACAAACACTTCAAGTTGGACTGTTGTGCACTTTGATGTTACACAGACGCTCTTCAAAATTGCTCTTGACTCGTTCAGAGCTTTCTCTGCAGGTGTACGGCAGATGAAATAAAGAAAGTGGCTTTGCTTTATTTACTGAGAGCAAGAGCACATCACGCTCACCAGATAATTAATTCATAATTATCAGATAAGTGAGTTTCACTAGGAGCTGCACACTGACGAGCTGCTGATCCGTGTGTCCATGGTCCACCGTCGACTCTGCATGTAAACCTGACTCCTCTGACACTAAAAACATGTTTGGTGTGAGTGACTGAAGCAATAAGTAAGTCAGTAAACTTTATTTAAATAGCCATTTTCATAGACACGAACATCGCAATGTGCTTAACAGAAAAAGAAAAACATATTTCAAAATATTCATAGACTTTTATTTTGAAATATCCGGTTACTGAAACAGGACATGTCACCACAAGTTGGGGAAATTGATGGTGATGTTGTGTGGCTGCATAAAATTTTGAAAATAAATTTTCTCTGTAGGCTCCATTCATTTTGGATGATTTCTTCAGTCACTAATTCTCACCTCTTCATGTGGCCATGCACAGTTTGTTCATAAAATACATAAAAAATGCTAAAATCACCATATACTGCAGCTTCACATATCAAATACATGTTTCACAAATCACACACTTGGTTTTAAATATTCTACAATCAGTGTAAAATAATCTAGTCCAGGTTTGAAGTCTCTGTGTGTTTTAGTTTTTAAACTAGAGCAGATTAAAGATGCTCAAAGTAGTGAGAACAGGTGGAATCACCTTAAGCCATTCCTGAAAACTTCTGAGCGTTTTTCTTGTCAATTTCTGACTTTAATATGTTAGAAAATATTTAGTTTAAATGTCACCAATTCTGTTCATAACTTTTCTGGACAGAATTTCTAGGAGCAGCCAAGGTGTTGAGGAGATCCTTTTTGGTGACCTTAGGATCACATCTCTGCTTTTTGTGGATGATGTGGTCCTGCTGGCTTCATCAGATCCTGATCTCCAGCTCTCACTGGAGCGGTTCACAGCTGAGTGTGAAGGAGCCGGGATGAGGATCAGTACCTCCAAATCTGAGACCATGGCCTTGAGCAGGAAAAGGGTAGGGTGCCTTCTCCAGGTCATGGAGGAGGTCCTGCCCCAAGTGGAGGAGTTTAAGTATCTCAGGGTCTTGTTCATGAATGAGGGAAGAATGGAGCAGGAGATCAACAGGTGGATTGGTGCTGTGTCTGCAGTGATGTGGGCGTTGTACCGGTCTGTCATGGTGAAGAGAGAGCTGAGCCAGAAGGTGAAGCTCTCAGTTTACCAGTGGGTCTACGTTCCTACCTTCATCTATGGTCAGGAGCTTTGGGTAGTGACTGAAAGAAGGAGATCACAGATCCAAGCAGCTGAAATGAGTTTCCTCTGCAGGGTGTCTGGGCTCTCCCTTAGAGATAGGCTGAGAAGCTCAGTCATCCAGGAGGGACTCAGAGTAGAGCCGCTGCTCCTCCACGTCCAGAGGAGCCAGTTGAGGTGGTTCATCTGGTTAGGATGCCTCCTGGACTCCTCCCTGGTGAGGTGTTCTGGACACGTCCCACTGGGAGGAGACCCAGAGGAAGACCCAGGACACGCTGGAGGGACTATGTTTCTCAGCTGGWCTGGGAACACCTTGGGATTCCCCCAGAGGAGCTGGTCCAAGTGTCTGGAGAGAGGGAAGTCTGGGTCTCTCTGCTGAGGCTGCTGCCCCCGAGACCTGACCCTGGATAAGAGGAAGAAAACTGATGGATATCACAAATTTCTGCCTTTAATTATGCTAATTTCTGAGTTTTTTTCTCGCAAATTTGTGACTTTTAAAAAATAAGAGAATTTCCTGGTTTTTTTTCTCAAAAATTTCTGAAATTATTCTCAGAGATTCTGAGTTTTTTCTCAAAGACTTGCTCCTCTTTTTTTTTTTCATCTGCAAAGTGGCCATAATAGGCCATGGTATTTTTTAGATGAAATTAGGTTCATGTGTGAAATGTGCTCATGTTACCCTACTGGTCCAAAGTTACAGTTAAGGTCAGACCAGCAGCTTCTAATCCTACACTGCTCGTTGCCTCAACTCAGTGAAAACCGTCTTCTTCAACTGAGTTTCACTTCCTGTTTCAGCATGTGCAGCTTCTATGTCAGGTCCATGTGTTGAGTCGCCGCATCCACACCCTGAACTACCAGGCTAACCTGACCAAGCGCTACCTGGTAAGTGTTCAACACTGTGAGGACTGATGGCTGAGTAAACAACACAAACACTGAGTAAACAACACAAACACTGATGGCTGAGTAAACAACACAAACACTGATAGTTGCGTAAACAACAACAACATAAACATTAACGGCTCTCACATACTTGGATCTGCAGAGCTCTGCACAGAGATCAGGTTTTTATGTCTACATCCACGGTGTCTCACAATAAACTGCTCCCCAACTTCATGTCTTCATGTTCTGGATGCAGATAAAGGTGAGAATCTGTGTTATTTATGGATGAAATAAGGTCAAAGAATATCTCATGGAGCAGATTAGAAAACAAACTTTAAAATACATCATACCTTGACTGAAATAGTGAAAAATGAAGGAATTTGTCAGGTGGTCAGTACACTCGAATATGAAGTGTCAAGTGTCCGTGCACAGTCTGCACGGCTCATGGACTGGACACAGGACACCCCAGTATGTGGAGGCCTTAAGGGTTCACTGATTGTAGATTTCTCATTCTTTTAAAAGCCTGTCCTACCCATACCAATGTCTAAAACAACTGACAGTGTCCAGTGTTATAAGGTCACTCCTTCAGTGTTCTCATCTTATTTTATTGAATAATATTGAACAATACCATTGAAACAACATCAACTTGCTTTAACTGGACAACAGCCCTCTGTCACAGCAGGACTGATTTTCTGACCTTTGTGGAGGTAAAGAAAATCTGTGGATAAGATTGACTTCTTGTTGGAGTTCTGGCCAATCACTAACCTCCAGGGTTGATTTATCTGTGCAGCCCTAATAATCAGTACCTGCTGAGTATACAGAGTTCAGGGTTTGGCTGTTTTCAGACCTGAATTTGTGTCTAAGTGAGGGAACGGTGGTGTTTTTATTTTGTTACTTCATCAGCTGGTTCTGGAGGTCCAGGTCCCTCTGTGGAGAAGAGCTGTCAGTCTGATTGGAGTGTTAAAGACGGTCAGACTTTGGCTGCTACATCTTGTATTAAGTTTGTTTATGTATTATAAACAATGTTTTATGTGTCTATATTTATATTTTGCTAATCATTTGCTTAAAGAAGTGATGGGTGACATGCAGTAGACCTTGGTGAAGGGTGATGGTTACATTTGTATGAAAGCTTTCTTTATTTTCTGTCCCTGATTTATGAAAATGAGTGAATAAAATGAGAACTGCTGACCCTGTCACCTGCTGAGGTCAGGTTACAACACCAACCGTTTTCTGCTTTTTATCCAGGAGGAACTACAACATTTTGCCAGTTGTCAGGAGAAGGTCGACTTCCACAGCAGCTTCAGTGTGTGCAACCTGCAGGGGGCGCTAGATCTTCTGCAAGAAGTGGAGCAGAGAGAGGAGGCTCTACAGCCTGTGTGCATTCCTACATCTTCTAAACGCTTGCTGCCCATGATGGCTCCTTCTACCAGCAGTTAAGGACGAGTAACATTTGCTCTTGATGTTCTTTTCTTTTAAAGTGGAAAAGCTACTACAGTAATTAGTACTGAAGTCTGTCATGTTAATAGACCAGAGTGAATTTTTGTGTGTAACCTTGTGTTCTGGGTATGTTTAGGTCATGCCTTTCCATTACTGCCTGCTGATGCTGCCTGGCTGTTTGCCACACGAGCAGTGTTCCTGTACCCAGAACTACTTCCTGTGTGCAGCCTGGATCCTGCTGTCCACAGCAAACATCACAGGAGTGTTTACACAGCAGGAGAAGACGGGTACAAGCTTTATCTGTGCTGCTCACTTTATCTGATCACAAAAAAGTTCAAACTTATTATGGCTGAGATCAAACTGAACCTTTATCATGTCTCAGTAATAATCTGTGCTGGATGCTTAACGTATTTGTGGTGGCACGATTTACCAAGAATGCAGAAACACATTGGAATAATGCCAGAAAAATCTGTGTGTGTGGTCGTAATAAATGATTAATTGTGAGCGACAAACAAACAGAACTGAATCAGGAAGCGCTGCATGCTTGTGACTGACTCGTCAGCAGAAAACAGCCAGTAATAAAACATTATGTTAACACCATGTGACAGTTTACAACCAATCACAGATTGCCAAATATACTGTCCAGCCTATGACAGGGCTCCCAG